CTCACTTCAGTCACATTAAACTGTTGGGGAATGTTATGTTAAGGTGTGTTACTTCTGTTTATGTTGCATTTGTTTAACTCTGTGAAGCTGTGTTACTGTGCCTGTCTAAAACACCTGATGTTCTAATAAAGAGCTGAACGGCCAATAGTGAGGCAGGAGAAAGGATAAGTGGGGCTGGCAGGAAGAGAGGACATATAGAAGGAGAAATCTGGGAGGAGAGAGATCTAGGAGCGAGAGGAGGAGGAGGACATCAGCGGCCCACCACCCAGCTACACAGCCATCAATGGTGTAAGAGTGAAAGTAAGATTACAAAAATAGAGAAAGGTGAAAGCCGAGAGGCAAAAGGCAGACAAGTTAATTTAAAGTTAAGAAAAGCTGGAAAGAAACAAGCCAAGCTAAAGCTGGGCATTCATAATTAAGAATAAACCTCCATGTGTGATTTATTTGGGAACTGGGTGGCAGGCCCCCAAATGGACAAAGAGTAAGAAAACAAATAACATTAAACCACTTATGTTTTAAAAATTTTAAACTTAATATATATGAATGTTTGCCTGTATATATGTATACGTGCCACCTGTGTGCAGTAAAAGGGACCAATATCGGCTCAGGGTACCCCAAGACCAAGTTCTCAACACAAAGGGGACTTATTTGCCCAAGAGGGATAAAGGGTGGGGAATAAGAGACAAAGCCAGGAGAGAGAGGACAGGGAGAAGGGGAAGGGAAGCAGGGAGAGGGGAGGGGCATTTATCCCAAGGGGAACATAGGACCGCCCCTGGATAGAGAGGAGACAGATGTGTCCAGAGGCAAATGGTGGTTTATAAAGGTAAAGGGGGAAACCCCATGTTAGGATGAGGTGTTTAGTTTTAATTGGGCATGTTCATTAGGTGAGCCAAAGGGGGCTTTTGATTGCTGGACTTCAATACTTTGACAGTTGGATCTTGGTAGTCAGCCTCAGGGGGAGGAAGTGGCCAAATAAGGGAACAGACCTTGGTGACTAGTTTCAGGAATGTACTCTAACGGTTCTTAGCAAGGCAGAGGGAA